AATGACTTGAGGTAAAAAAAGAGAAAAAAAGAAACTTGTCTTAATCACATAAGCCTGCAAGAGAAAGAGAGAAAGAGAGATAATTAGCACAAAAGAAAGAGAGAGAGAGAGAGAGAGAGAGAGAGAGAGAGAGAGAGAGAGAGAGAGAGAGAGAGAGAGAGAGAGAGAGAGAGAGAGAGAGAGAGAGAGAGAGAGAGAGAGAGAGAGAGAGAGAAAAGAAAGAAAGAAAGATTGTATTCAGCAGATCATCTAAAAAAAAAAATTGTGTATGCACAGATTCATTTGCATCTTGCCAACTTTTCACAAATGTCATGCTATTTTTATATGTCTTCTCACTTAGTTTATAAATAGACGCACAAAACACCACTTCGCAATTTACTCAAAGAGATACACACAAAAATAATAAAAATAAAAAAAAATAAAATAAAAAAAAACCTGGATCTGAAAAGGCAATGATCCTCTGTGTAGTTGATCTAGTCTCCTGGGTTATTTTACCAACTCTGTAATGTGTGGAATTTACTGTATTATATGTTGGAATACAATGCATACAACTATCTGTGAGAGTTCATTTATCCTCTTGTATTGGGATGGAAAGTTAATGAAGTAAATGAAGGAAAAAATGGGAAAATATAGGGAATGAATTTACAAAGTCTTTATCTACGATGTGGGTCGTGGTCTCTTAAAGAGACATTATTAAGCCTCATTCTTAATTCAGTTGGGGATAGTAAGCAAGATAAGGTATTTCTTGCTCTAATTTCTGCCATTTCTCAAATTTACTACCTCTCCCTTTTACCTCCCCCCCCCTCTTCTCTCTGTGTCCTTCTGCCTCATTCTCTCTCTCTCTCTCTCTCTCTCTCTCTCTCTCTCTCTCTCTCTCTCTCTCTCTCTCTCTCTCTCTCTCTCTCTCTCTCTCTCTCTCCCTCTCTCTCCCTTTTGGGGCTGTCTTGTCTTGTCACTTTCTCCGACTGCTGAAGACCACAGGCAAACAGATAAAGAGTTATTATGGCATAATAATGTTCATGTGCACTGCATAATATACCCAAATGCTAGTCAAGTCTGCAGAGTAGTCCAAATTTACTACTTTAATGATACATTTAATGGTTAAAACAAATGAATGTGCTAGACATCAAAGGTCATATAGCACTATGGTAAAGTACTGTGGCAAAAAGGGTAAAAATGAGTTAACAATAAGGCTATGTGGACAGAAGGGGATGAAGTGAAAGAAAAGGAAAAGGGGAGAAACTTCTGCACTGAAAAAAAAAAAAAAAAAAAAAAAAAAAAAAAAAAAAAAAAAAAAAAAAAAAAAAAAAAAAAAACTTTCTGAATAATTTTCAGAGATATCTTTCAAGACCTGTTCAATTCTGTAAGCATTTCTGATTAATACCAAAAGGTCAGTTTTTATGACTATTCAACTCTCACCTTTGAGACACAAAAGCTTTCTATTATAAAAAAAAAAATCATCTTACCACAGTCAATTTCTTGTCCTGATCAAGTCACTCTAAAATGGAAGGTTTTTCGCATCTTTTCGGCAGATAAATTACATGGGTCAAACCAAAGCTCTCAACAAAAAGCTATTTTGGTCCACTTCATTGCTCATGGACAGGTAATGCCATTATTCGAAACTCAAGATTCCAGCATCCTCCAGCCTTTTAGTTTTTCCATACATGTGGAAAGAACACTGGAGGTCTAGAGAAAAAATTACTTTAAAGAAGAAGACACTGAAACAGATACTTGCCAGATAACAAAATCCATTGCCAATCTGAGTCTGGCTTTCTTTCATAATTCCTAAAAGGCAGATTACAAATGATTCAGAAATTTGTCATAGACATGTCATGTCTGGCATAATTTTTGGAATGGATAAATTTAGTCTTGAAGAGAAGGTGGAACTGAAAAATGATATCTACATAGATGCTTATTAGGGTGAAGTTTCAGTTATAACTGTTCCAATTTAACATTGCATGCTTTTACAAAAGAAGGAAAAAGGAATTAAAAAATAATAATAAACAAAGAAAAAATAACAAAAATCAAGAAGGCCCAAAGCACAAGTATTTAAAAGGCAACCCTGATGACCCAAGTGACAAATTGATAAAAATCAATATTAAGAAAAAAACATAATAATGCTAATTAAAGAAACATCATATACTAAACAATGATCAGCATAACACTTATAATTCACATACATTTATAATGAATTTTTCTTGACCCAAATTCTAAAAATCAAGCTAGCCACAGTGTTGCCACAAAGTTATCAAATATCATTACAGGCAACAACCAGCAAAAGGGAAAAAACATGTTAAAAACCTCTAACAGAAATATTAGATGAAGATTCAGGAAGAAAAAGCAAAGTCACTACAACTGGAAAACAATAATAATAATAAATACAATAGCCAATATTCACAGAAAAAGGTAAAAAGGTTGTCCACCACACGAAAAAAAAAAAACTTGACTTAAAAAAAAAAAAAAAAAAATCTAGTTCTAAAGTGTGGGAATAAAAACACCCTCAATAAGCTTTGTTTCTGTATTGGATAATTTACAAAGGCTTTTATTATATACTTAAGGGATGAAAAATAAAATATAATGTTGCACAGCTTGTCCACAGTACAGTAGAACATTCTCAACTCCTTATCAGTCGAGACGTATCTACACTAAATGAAAATATCATCATCTATTTCATTCACATGTACCATCACGGGGAGCCAGAGACAAAAAAAAAAGTTCCTCCGAAGTGGTACGTATCGAGGACAAGCTCCCACTCGAGATGGACCTAAAAATACGCACGAGTTTTCGTACGAACACCTTGACAATTTTGTACACATTAAGGTGAGAACGGTCGTCTACGGTGTCGAGTCTTTTACCTACGTTAAAGCAAAAAGCTACTCTAAATTATGATGCATTTGTCATGTGGGAAAAAAAAAAGAAGAAAAAGAAAATGAGAAAAAGAAAAAAAAAAAATCTTATACAATCTACTTGGAATGATTTAAAAACTAAAATTCGAACATAAGGTGAACCTCCTGACTCCTAATTTCACAAATAAGTTTTTATCCAGCACAGTTCCAAATGAATATCATCAAATTTACCTAATCTGTAAATTCCAATCATGAACATAAAAAAGAAGAAAAAAAAAAAAAAAGAAAAAAAAAAAAAGAAAAATCATAGTCACATGTACACTGAAAAAAAAAAGAAAAAAAAAAAGAAACAAACAAACTCTATCGCACACCTCACAAAGTGATATATTCCTTTACAAAGAAAAGAACTATATAAGCTTATGACTAGCTACAATTTTTTACCAAACTAATTCCATAAAGGACGATCCCCTTCTACTAAGTCATCCATATTTGCATTTACTTTTACAAAATGAATCAAAACCAAAAAGTCACACATCCTCAACTGATACCATCTTTTTGATTGGAAATGAGAATCGATTATAGAGTTCCGATGGGGTTAAAAAAAATTTGCTGATAATAAGTCAGAACAAAGTACCTAAATACTGACTTTTACATAGAGTTATACCTTTTTATTTTTGTACATTTGATCTCCTGGGCCAAGTGTTACATTTGCAAATACGTCCCTTTTGCATTCTCTTTTTCAATATCCCAAGCAAAGTCTTACTGCTGTCTCACTTCCAAGGGACCGAAGCAATAGTGAAAATCACCTTAGAAGACCGTAAAAATCTTGAGGAAAAAAAAGAAATAATAATAATAAAAATAAAGGCACAACAGGACGACAACATTTGCGTTCTCTATTCCGTTCTTGGGAGTCGTCCGTCTCTTATCCTACTCACCCGAGCAAAATCTGTATCTTTTACAAAAAATCTTCTTTCTTGTTTTCTGATGATGCTATTATCCTCTCTATGAACTCTCTCCCTCTCTATTTCCGAAGTGCATAGAATGACGATCATAATAAATCAGATTCAAAATAAATCATAACCATCAATAATCACATTGACAAATCAGGAATTACAATTCTCAATATTCCTTTCACAAAATGACAAAATAAATCTTCCATAGAGTGTTCATTATCCTGTAATTATACAAACAAAATCCCAAAATATACATAAATACAGTAAACAAGAGTCTTTTAAAACACCACACAGCAGAGTCACTAAGAACTATTCAACCTCCATCCTCTGCATTCATTAAAGCTAAAAAAAAAAGGAAAAATCATAGTCACATGTACTGACAAAAAAAAAAAGAAACAAACAAACTATCACACACCTCACAAAGTGATATATTCCTTTACAAAGAAAAGAACTATATAAGCTTATGACTAGCTACAATTTTTTACCAAACTAATTCCATAAAGGACGATCCCCTTCTACTAAGTCATCCATATTTGCATTTACTTTTACAAAATTAATCAAAACCAAAAAGTCACACATCCTCAACTGATACCATCTTTTTGATTGGAAATGAGAATCGATTATAGAGTTCCGATGGGGTTAAAAAAATTTGCTGATAATAAGTCAGAACAAAGTATCTAAATACTGACTTTTACATAGAGTTATACCTTTTTATTTTTGTACATTTGATCTCCTGGGCCGAGTGTTACATTTGCAAATACGTCCCTTTAGCAATCTCTTTTTCAATATCCCAAGCAAAGTCTTACTGCTTTCTCACTTCCAAGGGACCGAAGCAATAGTGAAAATCACCTTAGAAGGCCGTAAAAATCTTGAGGAAAAAAAAGAAATAATAATAATAAAAATAAAAGCACAACAGAACAACATTTGCGTTCTCTATTCCGTTCTTGGGAGTCGTCCGTCTCATATCCTACTCGCCCGAGCAAAATCTGTATCTTTTGCAAAAAATCTTCTTTCTTGTTTTCTGATGATGCTACTATCCTGTCTGTGAACTTTCTTCCTCTCTATTTCCGAAGTGCATAGGATGACGATCATAATAAATCCAGATTCAAAATAAATCATAACCATCAATAATCACATTGACAAATCAGGACTTACAATTCTCAATATTCCTTTCACAAAATGACAAAATAAATCTTCCATAGAGTGTTCATTATCCTGTAATTATACAAACAAAATCCCAAAATATACATAAATACAGTAAACAAGAGTCTTTTAAAACACCACACAGCAGAGTCACTAAGAACTATTCAACCTCCATCCTCTGCATTCATTAAAGCTAATAGTGATTAGAGTACACAACAAAATTAAGGTGAAAAGAAACTAAATAAAAGAAAAAGAGAAAAGAGAAAGGCAAAAAAAGAAAAGAAAAGAAAAGAAAAGAAGGGAAAGTAAATTAATTCATTCTCACTTTTGTCTGATTTCTAGGTATAAGGGGAGAAAAGATTAATAACAAAAATATCAATGATGAAAGACCAATGAAAGGATATAAATAGTTCCACTAAAAGGATGGATTCTATGCTTCACTTACATCTATAATTTTAGTGGTTAATCTCACTTACTGTCTAGTATTCAGTTCTAAATTTTCAAAAAAAGCCATAATTTTATTGCTTGAATATCAACACAAAGTAATTCGGAAATTTGCAGTAACTTGAACCTATGCCACACTGTAAAATGGATGAGGTTTGTTGCACAATCCCAATAAATCTCTCTCTCTGTATTAGTCCTTTGGTGGTTACAGAATTCTGTCCTTTAATCACTTCTTTTATTACACAACTTTCCGCTCCTTCAGGAAGGCTCCATCGAAGTGAATAACCCTGCACAGACTATTTAAAACCTTTGTTAAAACATTGGTTAATATCATTAAGATCCTTTTACTGTAGTCTTATTATTATCATTTTTCATCATGGAAATATAGAGAATCCTAAAGATCTCCCTGGTACATATTATCTTATAGCAAAATAATTGTTCTGCAAGGTTCTCCAATATGTCTCGCATTCGCAATAATCAACACGGGCTTGCAAACTTACATATATACTCCGAGCAAACACAGGGTATACTGTCCTAAATCATCGACACAGGAATAAAAATAACCAACTCACTAAAGAATACGAGGCAACTGACAGCAATTTCTTTTATACTCAAAATTATCATACATTCTCATGGCTGTGACAGGAATACAAATTTAAAAGAATCTGCACATCAGTTATGACTTTCTGGAGGTTATTTCTCTTCTCGTTCTGACAGTGTAAGGACTAAAAAAAATAAATAAATAAATAAATAAAAAATTCTCAAATCAATAATTCCTTGCATGAAAGGCATAACACTGTCATTTCTCAAGCACTGCTTTTGGAAAATTCCAACAGATGACAAGGAACTTCTTACTTTGGATAGATACAAGAAAGTAATTATTAAGAAAAATAATAAAAATAATAATAATAAAAATAATAATAATAATGTCCAGGGAAGCACACTTGGTGACTTGCTCTCACTTGTCTGTCCTTTACGAATCTGCATAAGATGGTCCGAGCATTACCCTCCTTGGGCCATGCAGCACGCAAGACACAAACGGAAAGACGGAGGGAAGAACTTTAACTTCAGGAGAGAATTCCAACCATTCTGCGCACGGAGAGGCTTCACAGGAATAAAAAGGGCGATACAGATAGGCTCTGTCTTGTGGATAGTAGTTGAATTACTGTACCAATTAACGCATTTTGTTTACCAGAAATCTGCTTTATTAATCAATCCTTCAATTTGCATTAAAGAATAAGAATGTTCTCTTACTGTGAAATGTATTCATAAGCAATAGATATATACATATTATGATAAAAATCATGAGAATGCATATTGCAAGTTCAAATCTTGATATACAGTCTTACATATTCAAATTACGTCCATCTCTTACTGTTCACTTTCCTATCTCAAAATTTGTTATTCCAAGGAAACAGGAAATAAAGAAGATTTTGCCACTGCATATTCTCCAAAAGCCACCAAGTGCAAATCTACCCCTGAGACACAGAAATAAATGTATACATGTACTGAATGCTAGCACTGCATATACATGCATATATCATAAATACACAAATACATACACAGCTACTTGACCCAATGCATACCCATATGCACATACACACAAATACATGTATACAGATGTGAGTAGATATTACATAAAAATATCCTTTGAGAGATATCTAAAATTGCACGGCCGACAAAGTCAGTTCTCCCCCTTGGGTATCAGCGTGCTCGAGACAAGCGAAAGAGGACCTCGGAGATCTAAATTCCAGAGCCTGGGAGCCCCAAGACCCCTGCTCTGACGGGGCGCTAGTCAAAGGCATGGGACGACTCCTGTGTGTTGAGAAGATTCACTTCCTCGTCGTCCTCGTACACCTCAACCTCCAGGTGGTCCTTGCTCTTGGACGTATCCTTGTTGTGCTGGTTGACGCGGGTCACACCTTCTGTCAGGCCTGTTGTTGTCAGCCTGTGGGGGGGTGATGACGGTATGAGGAACTGAGCGGCTAAAAAACATCTAGGAGACTTTCTAGTCAAGGAAACGATCACAGAAATAAAATCTAGACAGCCTAATGGGTGATACTATACCACATAACCACAGATAACAGGTGATGTCCCAGCAACCAGGGTGAGATCTCCGGCAAGCCAAACAATCATTCAGCCCCAGAGCAGTAAACATTAACAAATACCCATCCTTGTCCAACTATACTAAAATATTTTCATTGTTAATGGGTTAGTAAACTTCCAAATCCCTCACCCTCTCAGTCAAGCCAAACCCCATGAAAAGCAACCCGAGTCTCGCATTCACACCACGCCACGACAAACCTTCCATCGCCATTAACGAGCCACAATACCCCAGCCTGTTCCCAACCAGAGGATGAGGATGAGGATGAGGATGAGGATGAGGATGAGGATGAGGATGAGGATGAGGATGAGGATGAGGATGAGGATGAGGATGAGGATGAGGATGAGGATGAGGATGAGGATGAGGATGAGGATGAGGATGAGGATGAGGATGAGGATGAGGATGAGGATGAGGATGAGGATGAGGATGAGGATGAGGATGAGGATGAGGATGAGGATGAGGATGAGGATGAGGATGAGGATGAGGATGAGGATGAGGATGAGGATGAGGATGAGGATGAGGATGAGGATGAGGATGAGGATGAGGATGAGGATGAGGATGAGGATGAGGATGAGGATGAGGATGAGGATGAGGATGAGGATGAGGATGAGGATGAGGATGAGGATGAGGATGAGGATGAGGATGAGGATGAGGATGAGGATGAGGATGAGGATGAGGATGAGGATGAGGATGAGGATGAGGATGAGGATGAGGATGAGGATGAGGATGAGGATGAGGATGAGGATGAGGATGAGGATGAGGATGAGGATGAGGATGAGGATGAGGATGAGGATGAGGATGAGGATGAGGATGAGGATGAGGATGAGGATGAGGATGAGGATGAGGATGAGGATGAGGATGAGGATGAGGATGAGGATGAGGATGAGGATGAGGATGAGGATGAGGATGAGGATGAGGATGAGGATGAGGATGAGGATGAGGATGAGGATGAGGATGAGGATGAGGATGAGGATGAGGATGAGGATGAGGATGAGGATGAGGATGAGGATGAGGATGAGGATGAGGATGAGGATGAGGATGAGGATGAGGATGAGGATGAGGATGAGGATGAGGATGAGGATGAGGATGAGGATGAGGATGAGGATGAGGATGAGGATGAGGATGAGGATGAGGATGAGGATGAGGATGAGGATGAGGATGAGGATGAGGATGAGGATGAGGATGAGGATGAGGATGAGGATGAGGATGAGGATGAGGATGAGGATGAGGATGAGGATGAGGATGAGGATGAGGATGAGGATGAGGATGAGGATGAGGATGAGGATGAGGATGAGGATGAGGATGAGGATGAGGATGAGGATGAGGATGAGGATGAGGATGAGGATGAGGATGAGGATGAGGATGAGGATGAGGATGAGGATGAGGATGAGGATGAGGATGAGGATGAGGATGAGGATGAGGATGAGGATGAGGATGAGGATGAGGATGAGGATGAGGATGAGGATGAGGATGAGGATGAGGATGAGGATGAGGATGAGGATGAGGATGAGGATGAGGATGAGGATGAGGATGAGGATGAGGATGAGGATGAGGATGAGGATGAGGATGAGGATGAGGATGAGGATGAGGATGAGGATGAGGATGAGGATGAGGATGAGGATGAGGATGAGGATGAGGATGAGGATGAGGATGAGGATGAGGATGAGGATGAGGATGAGGATGAGGATGAGGATGAGGATGAGGATGAGGATGAGGATGAGGATGAGGATGAGGATGAGGATGAGGATGAGGATGAGGATGAGGATGAGGATGAGGATGAGGATGAGGATGAGGATGAGGATGAGGATGAGGATGAGGATGAGGATGAGGATGAGGATGAGGATGAGGATGAGGATGAGGATGAGGATGAGGATGAGGATGAGGATGAGGATGAGGATGAGGATGAGGATGAGGATGAGGATGAGGATGAGGATGAGGATGAGGATGAGGATGAGGATGAGGATGAGGATGAGGATGAGGATGAGGATGAGGATGAGGATGAGGATGAGGATGAGGATGAGGATGAGGATGAGGATGAGGATGAGGATGAGGATGAGGATGAGGATGAGGATGAGGATGAGGATGAGGATGAGGATGAGGATGAGGATGAGGATGAGGATGAGGATGAGGATGAGGATGAGGATGAGGATGAGGATGAGGATGAGGATGAGGATGAGGATGAGGATGAGGATGAGGATGAGGATGAGGATGAGGATGAGGATGAGGATGAGGATGAGGATGAGGATGAGGATGAGGATGAGGATGAGGATGAGGATGAGGATGAGGATGAGGATGAGGATGAGGATGAGGATGAGGATGAGGATGAGGATGAGGATGAGGATGAGGATGAGGATGAGGATGAGGATGAGGATGAGGATGAGGATGAGGATGAGGATGAGGATGAGGATGAGGATGAGGATGAGGATGAGGATGAGGATGAGGATGAGGATGAGGATGAGGATGAGGATGAGGATGAGGATGAGGATGAGGATGAGGATGAGGATGAGGATGAGGATGAGGATGAGGATGAGGATGAGGATGAGGATGAGGATGAGGATGAGGATGAGGATGAGGATGAGGATGAGGATGAGGATGAGGATGAGGATGAGGATGAGGATGAGGATGAGGATGAGGATGAGGATGAGGATGAGGATGAGGATGAGGATGAGGATGAGGATGAGGATGAGGATGAGGATGAGGATGAGGATGAGGATGAGGATGAGGATGAGGATGAGGATGAGGATGAGGATGAGGATGAGGATGAGGATGAGGATGAGGATGAGGATGAGGATGAGGATGAGGATGAGGATGAGGATGAGGATGAGGATGAGGATGAGGATGAGGATGAGGATGAGGATGAGGATGAGGATGAGGATGAGGATGAGGATGAGGATGAGGATGAGGATGAGGATGAGGATGAGGATGAGGATGAGGATGAGGATGAGGATGAGGATGAGGATGAGGATGAGGATGAGGATGAGGATGAGGATGAGGATGAGGATGAGGATGAGGATGAGGATGAGGATGAGGATGAGGATGAGGATGAGGATGAGGATGAGGATGAGGATGAGGATGAGGATGAGGATGAGAAGAAAATGGAATTAACACTAAAGAAGAGAGATGGAAAAAAAATTCCGATTCTTCTTACACTTCGTCCATATCCTCGTCGTCGGTGGTCACCCTGAAGTAAGGGTTGTTGACGGCTGGACGGAATTTGTAGCCCGTCATCACAAAGAACACGTAAGTTGCCATCTCGCGGAACATGTCGTCCAGCCACTCGTACTGGAAGGGCACTGTCATCTGTGATGGTGGGGAGAGAAAAAAAATATTCAGAACTAAGTACATAAAATGGGAGGAAAAGAAATTATCCATAACTTAGCACGTAAAAAGGAAACGAAAAACAAATCATTCACTTCATATCTAAAAGAGAAGAAAATGGAATTAACACTAAAGAAGAGATTGGAGTACAGTATATGAAATAAAAATATATATATATATAATAATAATAATAATAATAATAATAATAATAATAAAAACAATAAAATAACAATAATAACAGAGGAGTGCATTACATATCCAACTGACCCTCAGCAAATAGACAATTATCCTTGTGAAGTAGATGTAGCAGACGATCATAATGTAGAAGTGACGGAAGAGTTTCAGCTTCTTGAGGTTGATGGCAGCCTTTCCGTCGCTCTGTGAGGCCTCCTGCAAGTGACGGATGGACCTGGAACAGAGAGAAGAAACTGAAGAAGAAGAAACTGAAGAGGAAGAGACTGAGACCAAAAGGACAAAGGAATGAAATTTTCATTCTATATCAGCATATGAGCTGAGTGTGTGTGTGTACATGTTTATGCTTGCAAGTATGTAAAGCAATTCTTTGTTTGTATATGAATGTATGTGTTTATGTTTTTTACTGGTGTTTATGTTTGTTTATTTGTGGCTATTTATTTCATATGCGCATACATGCATGCAAGTGAGTGAGTGGATGAATGTATGTGAGTGAGTGAGTGTGTGTGTGTGTGTGTGTGTGTGTGTGTGTGTGTGTGTGTGTGTGTGTGTGTGTGTGTGTGTGTGTGTGTGTGTGTGTGTGTGTGTGTGTGTGTAAGTATGAGGATGAGGATGAGGATGAGGATGATGATAAGGATGAGGATGAGTATGTGAGTGTGCAACTGAGTGTACACGTGCATGTGGATATGTGTGTGTGTGTCTGTGTGAGTGAGACTGAGTGTGAGTTTGAGTGAGACCATGAGTGTAATTGTGTATGTGCTTGTGTATACGTTTACATGTGTTTATATGTGTCTGCATGTGCATATACATGTGTCAAGAGAGAGAGAGAGAGAGAGAGAGAGAGGGGGGGACATACCAGACTACAGGCAGCAAGATGGCTCCACAGCAAAGGAAGTCCAAGACGAACAGCAGCTCCACCCACGTAGCGTGCTCCTGGCTGGCCTCCTCCGTCTCCTCAACGATGATGGTGGCAACGTTGGCAATGATCTGCAGGAGAGGAGGGTTGCAGAGATCAACACTTGCTTCGTTGTTAACCCATTGCCGCCGGGGAAAATGAACAAAAAATGGGGGAAATGCAGTACCCATTTTTTATATTTTTGTGAAATATCTCTGTCCATAGATGGCTCCTGATTTCACCTTCCCTTGAATTGGCGGGAAAAAACATATTTTTACTAGTGCTATAAATGTAGATGGTGTTATTTTTAACAGCAAATTAGGATAACGTTAAATATTTTCGCAAATCGATGAAAAGGGTGAACGGACGAGACAGGCAGTACTGTAATTGGCTCATTGGATACTTAGTACAAGTGTAGACATCTATGTGTAAAAACAATCTAACAAGTCGACTCACAGTGGGCATGGCATGTACGTACATGCCAACCCCGGCAGCAATGGGTTAAGGTCTAAGGTGATAGGTAGGTACTATCTATCAATCTATCTCAAGGTAACATATACATCTATCTCATAAATCAAGTCTGTTTGTCAGTGTAGCCACATAGAGGAGGCTCTATGTGGTAGACATTTATATTCTCTGACACTGCAGCTTACAAAGCAATAAATATATATTATATTCTTTGTCAGGATCACATCCATAGAGTATCTTATCATATGTAATTTGGCAATGCAAATAATTACAATTTTGACAGCCATTGGATAAATCATAGAGCAAGTACTACATTATGGTTTCAGTCATTCCTAGTCCCAATGTCAATCGTTGGCAGCCATAGTCAGTCTATGGCACTGGTCATCACATATCTCTCTTTCCTCCTGTCTTTAATTCCTCATTGGCACCTCTTAAAGGCACCAGAAACTTATATTCATTCTTTCCCCTTCTCCTCCATCCCCTCCTTTCTTCCTATTGAGAGACCTGTCTACTTTCAGTACATGTAATCTCTCACAACAATAACCGGTGCAACGTAACAATCAAAATACTAATCAATAACAGAAAAGGATAAACAAATTAATAGATAAAAGTATGCAAAAACAATATTCCCAAGACCCTCTACCTGCAGGGGGATGATGATCATGAAGATTTTCCTCTCTTTGCTGGAAAGAACGTGCTTGATGAAGGCCCAGCCGGAACCAATGAGAGCCAGAACGGTGAACAGCAGAGCACCCTTCAGCCTGTGGGGGTACAGAGTAAGTGGGAAATGTACACGGAATTCCACGAGTCAATTGGCATACTAAAGCAGATTTTCTCTCTCTTTCTCTTTCTCTCTCTCTCTCTCTCTCTCTCTCTCTCTCTCTCTCTCTCTCTCTCTCTCTCTCTCTCTCTCTCTCTCTCTCTCTCTCTCTCTTACTCTCTCTCTCTCTCTCTCCATAAAATTTTCAAAATCAATATACAATGGAAAAAGTCAAAATATATGATAATACACAGACACAGACACTTGAATATCAGCAACATTTTTTGAGAAATGAGCACATTCTTAACAATTTTACTCCCCCTACCACCTCCCCATCAAGCAAAAAGACCCAACAAAAACAGCGAGCCTACAAAAAACAAACTCACAAGTGCATGATGTAGAACATGACAGCCCAGGCCTCCATGTGGACGCCCCTCGTCTGGATGAAGTGGTAGTTGACGCCATGGAAGAGCAGGCTGAACGACTTGATGATGACCAGGACGCCCATCAGGTAGTGGATCTTGAAGACGGGATCCCTGCCGAGAGAAAGGTTTAGGTATTTAAAAGACTCGTGGGTGGAGGGTGGGGTATTTTACGCAGGAGGGTAATGTGCATTCAATTCTGAAATAGTGCTAGGATTGTGTGTTTATATTTCAATTATTCTCAATTATTCTCCTACTTTTCTTTATGCTGTAAGAACAAGAGCCGACAGGAAAATAAATAAATAAATAAATAAATAAATAAATAAATAAATAAAAAATAATAATAATTACGGGGTAATCTGAAGCTTCAAAAATAAGAGAATCTGTCTAGAAAACAAAACCTAAAAAACACTTCAAAAAAATAATAAATAAATAAATAAACAAATAACAGAGGCCTCTATCTCCTCTTCTACACCTTCCCCACCCAACTCACTTGCTCTTCTTGAGGAGGAAGAACCAGAAGCAAGCGGAGAGGAAGAAGAGGAGGGCCATCATGAAGTAGAGTGCAGGCAGCGGCATCTCGCCAGCGGACAGGTAGTTGTCGTCGGGATTCACTTCCTCGATCTTCAATGAGCGGCATTGCGGGTTTGAGACATCATATATCATTGAGAAAACTAACAACATAGTAGTTGAATTTCATGCATCAATATTGTTATCCATAATAATCTGGTGATACTTTCTGCCCAATTCAAATTGAAACTAATTGCAGAAGTATGGTATCATATCAGTTTACTTTCATTAGAAATCATTTGGTAATGTGCAATATCTTTAGCTTTTACTGAAATTTGCAAGGAATAACTCTCTCTTAAAAGGGGTTAAGAGAGAGAAGAAATAAAGAAAGAAAGAAAAAAAAAAATCCCTTTGGTATAAACTTTTCTTTCCCATACAGCAGGTATCCCTATAGTACCTTTCTTTACCAGCATTTCACACATAACAGGAAAATAGTACACACACTTCAAAGAGCTCACACAATAACAAATCACACATCCCCATACGCACCTCAAACCTACACCCGCACAGAAATCCCAATCAAACTCACCTGCAAAGCCATGTCGATCTTGGAGTATCCAGCACCAGGGGGGTAGTTCATGCAGTTGTGGAAATTGAGGTTGTACAGCCCCTCCTCCTTCTCCAGGGCCACGTACACCAGAAACTGACGGAGAATGGAGGCGTTTTCTCATTCGTTTTGTAGATAGGAGTGGGGAGGAGTGGGGATTCTGCTAAACAGTCTGATATATAGATTTTTACATTCTGTTTTCTTATCTATCTGTCTATCTATATTTCTTTTCTTCTTCTCCTTCTCCTTCTCCTTCTTCTTGACTATATCTTTGATTATTATTTTTTAATTCCATCTTTGTTTTGCAACATTTTCTATTATCATCATTTTCTTTTTTA